GGCCAAATTTTGCCGAAAAAACTTGCCGAAAGTCTGATTTCACGAAAGTCGATGCTGATGAAACTCGAGGGTCCACTGTACTTTTCATCATGAAAGCAATCAAAATAATATATGTTCCAGTCTATCAGATGAGACCAAAACGAGAATACAACCATAAAAACCATACGAAAATATACCACAAAGAGGCGGCTAATGGCTGAGAAGTGAACTTCCTTATTTATCGTCCATCTTTTTTATTTTTTGGTGTATGTTAAGAAGTATCTTTCCATCATACATTGCCAAAGTTTCAATGAGATAGCCCAACAAACAACTGAGAAAAAAACAATATTTACCAAAAATCATGGCAAGCCCAAGTCAGGTGCTGAAAATAAGTCACTTTGTCTTACTTTTTTGGGTTATCCTAGGTTCTCTATACATATGCTGCTATGATAATCTATGTAACTGTATTTGTGTATAGTACCTGAATAAACTTACTTCTAGTCTGTCGACTGAGTACAAGAAACCGCCCATTCACCTATTTCAACTACCCAATAAAGTTGTCAGAAACTGGCAATTTGGCCAATTTCACAGATGCCAATTTCAAAATAGGGTCCAGAATAAACAATGCAGACATTTCTGGCACTAAAATAACATTTTTTCTGTTCATTAGTCATGGCTGCAGGCCCCTCTTATATTACTCTTGCTTACCATTTGGAATTTTTTATTCACACAAAAAATAGAAGATTTACTGTTATGCAGACTACTGCATTATTGTAATAATTGTATAAATAATGTCAACCCATTCCTGACTGCGTATTGGAATTTGGACTGGCAGGCAGACAGGTATTGGACGGTGACGTCATTTGTTTACTCGAGCATTGCTAAAGAATAGAACTTTTCTGCTACTGTGAGCGCAATTTCAAGGTACTTTTCGTCATGAAAGCAATCAAAATCATATCTATTTCTGTAATATAGCTTTCATTCTATCAAATGAGACTGAAAAAACGAGAATATAACCATAAAAAACATACAAAAATATACAGTTAAGTGGCCACTAAAGGCTGAGAAGTGAACTCTGCTATTTATGGTCTGATTTCTTTCATTTTTGGTGTACATTAAGATGTATCTTTCCATCATACATTACCCAAGTTTCAAAAAGATAACCCAACAAACAAATGAGAAAATAATAATAATAATAATAATATACTACACGTACATGTACATGGGATACAGACATAGCTGACATCAGTGACATACAGTGGACCCCCGATTAACGATATTTTTTCACTCCAGAAGTATGTTCAGGTGCCAGTACTGACCGAATTTGTTCCCATAAGAAATATTATGAAGTAGATTAGTCCATTTCAGACCCCCAAACATACACGTACAAACGCACTTACATAAATACACTTACATAATTGGTCGCATTCGGAGGTAATCGTTATGCGGGGGTCCACTGTACTACTATATAGAAAGCCGCTTGTTATGCAGAGTATTTCAAGCAAATTAGGTCAGTGTCCCAGGATAACACCCACACCAGTCGACTAACACCCAGGTACCCATTTACTGATGGATGAGCATAGACAACAGGTGCAAAGAAACACGCCCAGTGTTTCTACCCTGGCTGGGAATCGAATATTTACCAAAAATCATATATGGCTAACCCAAAGCAGGTACTAGAAATAAGCCACGTTGTGTGACTTTTTTTTGGTTATCCTAGGTTCTCTACACATATGCTGCAATGTGTGGTAATCTATATAGAGAAAATAGCTTTTTTGTTTCAGGTTTATGGTGCAGTACAAGTGTATATCATGGTTAGCCCTGTGCTACACTCCATTTTCTCTTATATAAGCCCCAAGACAGGGATAGGAGAATGGTACTTGTATCTCATATCCTCTTCATACCTCCGTCGAACTGCTCGGTATTATGACAAATATTATTCATTCTGGAGTGTTTAACATGTTTTATGTTATTTATATTGTTTATTATGTCATATTAGATCAATTGTGATAGGCAATAAGCTGTAGTGTTGATATTAGCATAATAATAAAGCATATTCTCCTGCTAGGGCTAAAAGTAAGCAAGTTATAACAATAAATGGAGAAAAAGAAATTAGAATGACTTATGCAGCAAGTAGCACCACCAAACAGTACCAGTAGGTTGGTGTGGCAACCCTGGAAATTTGAAATTATATATACAGGTCCTCCATCACAAATCTGGCATCAGTGGGACCTGTAGTGTGCCGGATTACAGAGTGGTTAGGTTAGAAAACACTTAATAAAGTTAACCAACTTTACTTACACAAGAAAGTTCACCACTGCTGCTTCCAAAGTGAATATCTGAAATTTACAGCTAAATACATTTACATGTCTTGAGGTGAAGGGCTGTCAGGATTGCCATCATCTTCATCTTGGAAAGTGACCGAGATATCAGGAACTGATGACAGTGGTAGCACATCAGGCCGAGCAGATATTGAAGGCACTAGATTTTCAAGTGGTGACTCTTCTGTTGCATGCTTTTCAGCTATTTTTTTGAACATATCTTTCAAGCTGAGTTGTTTCATATATTTTGGCCTTTCTTTGATTAGTTTATCCTGCAGCATGTAAACATTCATTATTTCTTGTTCACTTACAAAACTTCGTTGCTCTAGACCTTTTAGCAGTTCACCTGCCAACTGAATTAACCTATCAATTGAGACTTTCTGCTATATCTTCCTCATTTTCATCAGTGCTTTCTCCTCCACTGGCTTGCTGCTCTGGATTTACAACCATCTGCACAATTTCTGAATCAGTATAATGATGTACAGCAGCTGCATCTTCATCTACATTCATCCATTCCCCAACACTATCTTCATTCATCCTCGATGCAAGATCCTTCACAGCAGGATTAGTCAGATCACTAGCAAAAGAAAGCAGACTATGTATAATCTGTTTTTCCTTTGAAGCCCTAAATCCTGTAAAGTCATTTTCATTGTCTTCTCCAGGTGCAGTCTCGAACATTAACCCTGGCCACAATTTATGCCATCCATTTTTCAGTGTGGATGCCTCTACAGACTTCCAAGCATTGGCAACACAGTAAACCATATCTCTCGCATTAAATTCCTTAAGAAACTCACGTACTGGTCTGCCAGAGTTAACTGCACTCAGTAGGTGCCTCATAAAATGGGTGCAATACCTAGACTTAAAAGAACGTAGTATGGGGTTGAATTAATGATGTGCAGTTAGGTGGGAGGTAGACACCGAAAGCGTTGTTCTTTACCAGGAGTTCTGCTTTCGGATGTGCGGAACAGTTGTCTAAAATAAGCATTATCTTACAGTTGTGGTCCAAACCAACAGTCACAGTGAGCTCTTGCTTCTGGAAGAAAATGGTTTTCAAACCAATTCAATGTAATTTCAGTTGTTATCCATCCTTTTTTGTTGGCACAGTAAATCACAGGAAACTGTCATGCCTTTGAAAGCCCTGGGATGTAAACTTTTACTGATGACCAGTAACTTGCATCTGTGCATTCCTGCGGCATTAGAGCATGCCAATACAGTGACACGATCTTTCGATGTTTTATATCCTGTTGGTGATTCTGCATCCTCAGTTGTCAGAGTTCTTCTTGGTGTACATTTCCAGTACAGTGCTGTCTCATCTGCATTGTAGACCTGCTCAGGACTTAATTTTTCATCTGAAACTAACTTGGCGAACTCTTCAACAAATTTAGCAGCAGCTTCTGTGTCCGCTGAAAGTTTTTCACCACACACTGCATGAAACTTTAAGCCATGTTGATCCTTGAAACGCTGTAGCCAACCTTCACTGTAATCACATTCATAATCTAATCCTAGTTCTTCATGAAAAATTTTGACTTGTTCCTTCACCAGAGCTCCAGACAGCTGAACGCCTTCACTTACACGTAGCCTAAACCACTTCATCAAAACCTGATCTAGTTCTAAACTTTTTCCTTCCCTCATTGTTTTCCTTTTACATATCTGTTTCTTTGAATCACTGTTAGCAAAGAAACTCAGTAATTTTGTTTTCTGTTTCTTTGTCATAAACTGTTGAAGAGCCAATGTTGTATAACTCACACAAGTTCCTCACAGACACACCACTGTCAAGTTTTTTCAGAAGTTCAACCTTATCTGTTATGGACAGTGTACAGTGTTTGCACTTTACACAATGAGAAACACTTCCTTTTGTTGGAACCATGGCTAGGGCTAAAAGTGAGGAAGTTTTAGCAATAAATGGAGAGAAAAACAAATTGGAATGACTTCTGCTCTAAGTAGTGCCACCAGACAGTAGTGGCAACTCCCGGAAATTTTAACCCTTTCACACTTGATCAAGAACCCCTCACCAACATCAAGGAACCTTCCTTGAGGGTTTTCCATATTGAGTTTTTATTCACACAAAATAATAGAAGATTTACTATTATGCAGACTGCTTAATTATTGTAAAAAATGGTATAAATAATACCAGCGCATTTGTGAAAGCATATTAGACCCACCATAGTGAATACCAACAAACTGAGGGAATGAGACAGAAATTGAGAAAGGGTGATGCGAGACGAGACGAGGTGCTTTATGCCGAGACGCATTGCCATTTCCATGACCAAAGTTCTCGTACAGTTTACAATACCAACTGGTCAGAGAGCTGGTCATAAGTCTCAGTGGTCGTTAAACAGATAGGTCATTAAGCGAGGAGTACCTGTAAGTAAATAAATAAGTACTGTCATTGAATAAGTAAATAAAGAATTACTGTAAATACATGTACCAGTATTGAAAAGTAAAGTATTTTAATACAAGTTTATCCTATCAATAAATGCACAGTATTCTACAGTACCATCGTAAAGTCCGTGGGATACATTGGTTTGTTGAAACACACACACACTGCAGTGCCTTAAGCACCATGCATAATTTGCATTTCTCATATTTTCACTTTAGCTTAACTGTATTTTGCCAACACACTGCTTTTTGTGTGCTATAAACAAAAATATTTTTTTTATTATACAGCATTTGCTTAATGAAGGATTTTCTACTTTACAGAGGATTCTATCTTCTCATGCCCAGGATTGATGCTTACACGTGACCACAACTACAAACAGACTAATGGTGGCCAAGCAAAAACACGACGCCAAAGTATGCACTTCTGAACCCTACCTAAATTATCTTTCATATATATATGCTGGCTCAAGGATCAACTGAATGAATTAAGATTGTTCCCATAAGGGGGAAAATGTTCATTAAATTAAACTAGCTGAAGGTATTTATGTGAAGCACTGTATTAAAGAGAAGGTTGGTATCAAGCTTTCCTCAAGAAACACTTGAGCATCATGGTAACTATGAATTGTAGATTCCTTGATATAGGGATATATCAGAAAGCATGAAACACTGCTGTATGCTGTAACTCGTATTGATCAGAAACTCATCCATTGATATGTCATCAATGAGTGATGCTTCGATCAAACGAAGCTCTTTATCCAATTTAGTAAGGTGGTTTATGGGAGGAAGTTTTAGGTGTTCACTACTGTATCAGTAGATTGTATCTTTGCCAGTTTAGCAGGGTTTCTAGAACCTTTAGTTTCAATATTGTAGTCTTTCGATTGTATTTAAAAATTTAACCTCAAACTTTCATTTCATATATGGTTACTAGCTCCAGGATACAAAATTAAAAATATATCAAATTGTACCTTGCCAACTTTCAAATAATCACCTTTTCATACTTTTGGTCATGAACTGTAGGTAGTTATCTGCTGGTCAGATTATATGGCTACCAACTTCCATGTGTGTGATCACGTCTTCACTTACTGGATGAAGAGGACATACGGTGTACAATGTAATAAGGATGCCAATATTGTGGGTTACTGTCAAACACTATAGGATTGCAATGATGCAAGTGAAATAACTGTGATTCGCTCAATGTTATTTAAAATTTTAACTGCTCATTTTTTTTCTTCAGAAAAACAATAATAATAAGTGGACAACATATCAAATAGAAAACAAAATGGGTTCTAAGTGATAGAAAAATGTGAAGACTGGCATGTGACTAAAGGGCAATAAAGCTGTTGTAGTTAAAGCATTGAGCATTCCACTGGGACATGGATCTCTCTAACAATGAGCAGGAAAATCTGTGATTGGGTAAAAATAATAAATTGTGCCCCATTACTCTCAAGCTTCCCAACTTCATTTTAACTATGTGCAATGTATAGTACTTCATTTTCATAATGTTGGATACTTATACAAGTGTCTCCCATTCTTCATTTTGTAAGGTTGCCATATAGGCTTTTCCTAATTAGTTTATATGTTAAAGATTGTGATATATGACAATAATTTTTTTTTAAAGTTTTCTGTTTTATGACACCTTGACATTTTGATATATTCCAGTGTTCTTTGTCAAACTAGATTTCACACCTTAAATTTAAAATTCTGTAGATTATCTTGTACCTGACGAAATCTCTATCTTTGTACCAGTGAGTTGGTACAGTCTAACCACTTACTAGTTGTCATCATCTACACCTCATTTGCAATAACTCTAGGGTTATGCAACCACGAAGGTGAAAAAACAATGCGAAAAGAATATAAGAGTACCTCTGTGCTCAATTATTAAGTCTTTAGTAATGATAGTCCCAGCTGAGCATATGAAAAGGTTTAGTGGGCTTAGTTTACAGTTGCGTCCGGTCATGCCTGAGTGTAGTTAATGAAGTAAGAGATTGATCAAGGAGTCTGTCATGATAGACTGACTAGACCATAAGCATTCCAAACAGTAAAATGAATTCCTACGTACAGTGTAAGTATTTAATTTTTCCTATTCCCATGCTCTTCAGGATGATTATGGATATAATGCTTTTGTGTGATTTGAAAGATTTATAAGTACATTTTTATCCAATAATGTCAAAATTAGGATTGTGTGTAACAATTGGGTTGACTAAACCTTGAAACCATTGCATGAGAGATGATCAGATGATAGTTTGAGAAAAAAAATATATTGTATTAAGAGATACTGGCAAAGTTCAAGAAGTAACTGTAAATCACTGTTAACTCAGATTATAATTATATTGAGGATTACTTCATGGCTTATGTTAAATGATGAAATAAGCACTAACAAATATTACTAGCATTGTCCTATACTTTAAATCATGAAATTGTCATTTTTAAGGAGTTTAGAAATATTTTTATTTAATTGGAGTCATGCTATAAAGCATGTAATAACTTGAAAGTAACAGCCACTTAATGGAGCTATATTATAAACTTTTATGGATTGTAACTGGTCATCAATCTCTCCCCCTTGTATTTTAGACAATTGTGGACTGATCTAGGAACACATCTTCATAAATAAAAACACCACATTAGTTTGCCATGTATGTTTAGAAACGAACCAATTCTATTTTTGAACAGGTGTCAACTATGACTATAATGTATATTTTCAACTATTTCTATCATATGTTGAAGAACATGACATTGTGTCAATGATGTGTCTAAAATGAATAAAGAAAACTTAAAATTAAATAATTTTTGTTAGCCTGTTTCATTCATTTAAACACCATCTCATATGAACAACTACAGTACAACACAAGTTTGGTTTGACTTATGACCGGTTGGTCGGAACCAAGCTTGGTCGTAAGTCGGACGGTAGGTGTATATATATATATATATATATATGCAAAACAACCACTGTGAAAGAATAAGGAATTTCAAGGAACAATAAAAGTAATGCATCAAAGGAAGGCATATAAAGGATCTAGCCCACACCTCACTATTACATCCCACAACAAAGCAACACCTGATGCCCGACTCATAAGAAAGGGAACACTGCAGCAGGCCCACTGGCCCAACTAGACAGGTCCTTCACATAACCCACCAACAAACTATTCTACCCAAGAATTAAGAATTTCAAAATTTATTACTTGTCCAATGCATTACTAAATTCTTCCCAAATTCTATTGATTATAAATGGATCTAATTTATATAAACCAAAGGAAATATATTATTGTCAAAATGGCTTTTTATGAAACAAGATTCAATTATATTCCTGTTGACCATGGCCTTGCTTGATACAACTTACTCAACTTTTTGAAAATCAATTGGATGGTTAAAATCTCTCACATGAATAGCTGTATAGTCCTTGTGGCTTAGCGCTTCTTTTTGATTATAATAATATTATTATTATAATAAAAAAGAAGCGCTAACCCACAAGGGCTATACAGCGATTATAATAATAATAATCTCACATGAATAGAGCATTGGAATCTTGTCCAGTTCTAATGCTATACAGTGGACCCCCGGTTAACGATATTTTTTCACTTCAGAAGTATGTTCAGGTGCCAATACTGACCGAATTTGTTCCCATAAGGAATATTGTGAAGTAGATTAGTCCATTTCAGACCCCCAAACATACACGTACAAACGCACTTACATAAATACACTTACATAATTGGTCGCATTCGGAGGTGATCGTTATGCGGGGGTCCACTGTATTTATGTTGTTTTAATCTTAGTTCGAGACTTTTAGCAGTTTGACCGTAGTAAATTTTATCGCAAATTTTACAAGGAATCTTAGACACATCAGTCAGCATTTTGGGGGGAATTCTTTATCAAAAGTTTTTTTTACTGTATCAAGATTTTTAAATACAACTTTGATACTAAAAGTCTTAAGAAGAGAAGGCATATCAACCAAGTTTTCATGGTAAGGGAGAACCAACATATTTTTAGTTGAATAAGGCTGGTTGTCCCTTTTTGGATTGTAAAAAGTATTTTTAGCAATTGTAAAAGATTTATCAATTATGTTTCTTGGGTATTTCAAATCATTACCTATTTCATAAATTTTGGATATTTCCTCATCTATGAACTCTGGACTACAAATACATAAAGCTCTCAAAAACATTGATGAGAAAACAGACAGTTTAACTCTATCTTGATGTGAAGAATAATAGTGGACATAGGAACAGTTATTTGTAGATTTTCTGTAAATTTTAAATTACATTACACATCCCTGTCTAAGACCTACTCTTACCAGGAAGTAGTCTCCCTCTCTTCTACATACCCTAACCTGAGCCTCACTATCCTCATAAAAACTCTACAGCAGTTAGTAACTTACCACCTATTCCATATACTTGCAACATCTGCCACATTGCTCCCCTATCCACTCTATCATATGCCTTTTCTAAATCCATAAATGCAATAAAAACTTCCCTACCTTTATCTAAATACTGTTCACATATATGCTTCAATGTAAATACTTGATCTACACATCCCCTACCCACTCTGAAACCTCCTTGCTCATCCGCAATCCTACATTCTGACTTGCTTTCTAATTCTTTCAATAATAACCCTACCGTACACTTTTCCTGGTATACTCAGTAAACTTATTCCTCTATAGTTTTTACAATCTCTTTTGTCCCCCTTCCTTTTATATGCTTTCTGCCAATCCCTAGGTACCTTCCCCTCTTTCATACATTTATTAAACAAAAATACCAACCACTCCAACACTATATCCCCCTGCTTTTAACATTTCTGTCATGATCCCATCAGTTCCAGCTGCTTTACCCCCTTTCATTTTATGTAATGCCTCACTCACCTCCTCCGCACTCACATCCTGCTCTTCTTCACTCCTAAAAGATGGTATACCTCCCTGGCCAGTGCATGAAATTACCGCCTCCCTTTCTTTGTCGACATTTAAAAGCTCCTCAAAATATTCTCACCATCTATCCAATACCTCCATCTCCCAATCTACTAACTCCCCTACTCTGTGTTTAACTGACAAATCCATTCGTTCCCTAGGTTTTCTTAACTTGTTTAACTCCAAAAATTTTTCTTATTTTCATTAAAATTTCTTGTCAGTGCCTCTTCCACTACTCTCTTCACATTTCTTTTACTCTCCATACACTCTACTCTTCTTATATATACATATATATATATATATATATATATAAATATATATATATTATATTATATATATATATATATATATATATATATAAAATATCACCTCCCATCCGACTTACGACCTGCTCGACATACGGCCACTCGACTTGCGACCGTGTTTTTTATGCCAAATTTCTGGGAAATAAATAAGTGTGTTGTACACAGTGTTTATCCTAAATCTTACAGTATAAAATACAGTACTAACAGCATAAAAAGTAAAGTAAAACATGAAATACCAAAATAAAACAATAAAATAAAGTCATTACAAAAATGTTATGTTGATATTCAGTAGTAAAGTTCGACTTACGTCCATTTCGACTTACGACCGGTTTCTCGGAACCGAACTCGGTCGTAAGTCGGATGGTAGGCGTGTGTGTGTGTGTATATACAGTGGACCCCCGCATAACGATTTTAATCTGTGCAAGAGGGGTAATTGTTATGCGAAATAATCGGTATGCGAATGAATTTTCCCCATAAGAAATAATGGAAATCAAATTAATCCGTGCAAGACACCCAAAAGTATGAAAAAAAAAATTTTACCACATGAAATATACATTTTCCCACACACAAAGAGAAGGATACATGCACAATAGTAGAGTAGTACATGCACAGTATATATTGTGCATGTACTAGTCTACTAAATGAAGAATAAATGACACTTACCTTTATTGAAGAGGGAGCAATGACTGATGAGGACACTGTGTCCTGGGGGTGCCTTTTCTCCTGAGTACTGTAGGTCCTGTTTGGCATTTTCTTCCAGAAGAGCCCTTATCACACTGTGTATGCCACTACGATTTTAAATCTCTCAAACCAACCTTTGCTGGCTTTAAAATTCACCAATATGAGCACTATTCCAGGCATTTTTCCCCGTTCACCTGGGTGTTAGTCGATGGTGTGGGTTGCATCCTGGGAGACAAGATTAAGGACCCCAATGGAAATTAAATTAGACAGTCTTCGATGACACTGACTTTTTTGGGTTATCCTGGGGGGCAAATCCCCTGGGGTTAATTGTTTCTTGGTATTCTCAATAAGCCACACCAACAACGGTGCTACAGCAGCAGCAGCAAACAGCTGACGGTGGTACAGCAGAACAGACGATGCTACAGCAGCAGCAGCAGCTGACGGTGGTACAGCAGCAACAGACGATGCTACAGCAGCAGCAGACGATGCTACAGCAGCAGCAGCAGCTGACGGTGGTACAGCAGCAAAACAGACGATGCTACAGCAGCAACAGACGATGTTACAGCGCCAGCAGCAGCTGACGGTGGTACAGCAGCAGCAGACGATGCTACAGCAGCAGCAGACGATGCTACAGCAGCAGCAGCAGCAGCTGACGGTGGTACAGCAGCAACAGACGATGCTACAGCAGCAACAGATGATGTTACAGCAGCAGCAGATGATGCTACAGCAGCAGCAGCAGCTGACAGTGCAGCAGCAGCAGCAGCTGTACCACAATAGTAGCGATGGTTGATTGGGGTTTATTATACAACCTGGCCAGCTCGGAGACACGCACTCCACTTTCATACTTATCAATGATCTTTTTCTTCATCTCTATTGTAATTCTCACCCTTATTGCTGTAGGGTTGGCACTAGAAGCTTTCTTGGGGCCCATGGTCACTTATTTTCCAGAAAAAGCACCGAAAACACTGTAATAATACGAAATATTCCGATTGTATGCTTGGATGTTACCGCGGAGGCTGGCTGGTAAACATGCCACCGGCGGAACATGTGAGCGTGGCTCAGGCCGCACATTGGACGAGTCTCGGACGAAAATCGGTGAGCGGGTTTTTAAGCAGTATGTGAGGCAAAATTTTTGCGATTAAAACAAGCGGTATGCGGATTAATCGCTATGTGATGCCATCGTTATGCGGGGGTCCACTGTAAATAATATATATATATTTATATATATATATATATATATATTTTATATATATATATATATTATATATATATTTTATATATATATATTATATATATATAATATAAAAATATATATATTTATATATTATATTTTTATATATACTTCTATTACACTTAGGTCACACTACACATACATGTACACGTTTTTTATACACACTCATCTGAGTTTTCTTTGATTTTACTTAATAGTTCTTGGTTTTATTACTTTTCCTTTTATATCCATGGGGAAGTGGAATAAGAATCTTTCCTCCGTAAGCCATGCAGTTGTAAAAGTCAACTAAAATGCCGGGAACAATGGGCTAGTAACCCCTTTTCCTGTAAAGATTACAAAAAAAAGAATAAGAAAATTGTCAAAGGGGAAGTCTGAAGGGTGCGTGGATGTCGGTGCAAATGATGGGGAAGAGATGATTGTGGATGTTTTATGAATGAGAAGCTGGATGTCCTGGCTTAAGTGAAAAAAAGTGAAGGGGGTGGCGGTTTCAGTGGAGAGGATAAAGGGATTGGTCAGGGGTTTCAATAGAGTTAGAGCTAAGAGGGTAGCAATAATGTTGAAGGATAAGATATGGCGGGAAAAAAGAGGGACTATAAATGTATTAATTCAAAGATTATGTGGAGTAAAATAAAGGTTGGATGTGAAAAGTGGGTTATAGTAAGTGTATATGCACCTGGAGAAGAGA